CCCTAGTTTCCTGCTGCCACAGGCTGGTGGCTGCAGGGCAGGGCTGGAGGCCTAATCCTATCCCAGGATTCCCTCATGACCTACTCACCATAGGGGGAGAAATCTCTCTCTCCAGCCTCCCAGCAGTCAGGACTCTCTCACCACGTGGTGACAGTGCCCATGGACCGACTCTCAGGCATTGGGTTCGACCTGGCTTGGGTACTGTCTGCAAGCAGGCCTCCACCGCTGCGGAGGGCTGCTGTCATCTGAGCCGCCAAGGTAAAACTCTCTCACTCTTTTTTGGCAGTCGGTATTTATTTTGGTTGAAAGGTAAAGAAAAAGGGAAGCAGGAAGAATTAATTTCAACTGCTGGTTGACTCCTAGGTTTGGGCCAAGCTCAAGCTAGGAGTCAGGAACTGAGTTTGAGTCTTCCCTGTGAGTGGGAAGGGCCCAATTATTTGAACCATCACCTTCTGCCTCTCAGGAAAGATATTAGCAGGAAGTTGGAATCTGAAATGCAGCCAAGATTCAAACCCTGGTTCTCTGATATGGGATATGGGCATCCCATTCTATGGCTCACTCACTACTACAAATGCCTGCCGCCTCAGTGTCGTTTTTACTATATCCCTTCTTGAGTTTTCCTCATCACCCAAGTTCTTCCTGTTCCATGATCCTACACCCCAACTCATAACGCTTGTTACATTGATGGGATACTTTTTCTGCCTCTCTTGACCAGTCTTTAGACTCAAATCCTATTAAATCCTTCTCATTTGATTATTGTTTGTAATCCTTGCATGTATTTCTACTGGACTATAGTGTTTTTACTGTTTACTTTTGAATTCTTCTTTTAGTGGAGCATTAAACCTTTGACTATAATATAAATTAAAAATATTATCTCCATAAAAAGAGGGAGATGGAGGGAAGTATCATGTTCTTAGAATTGTCTGTTTAACTACATTGAATCTACCAAAAAAAGAAAGAAAAAAAGGAGGGAGGAATAAACATCAGGTAAAAAATAAATATGTCTGCCTTTATCATAAAAACTGGTGCTTGGCAGTGTGGTACAGGAAGTTAAGTTGCTATCTCTGATGACAGCCTCCCACATAATTACTGGTTTGAGTCCCAGCGACTCCACTTCCAATCTAGCAACCTAGTAATGTAATGGAGAAGGCAGTGGAGAATGGCACAAATGCTTGAGCCATTACCACCCATGTGGGAGACCCAGGTTCCTGATTTTGGCTTGGTCCAGTCTTGACAATGGCAGCCATTTGAGGACTGAATCACCAGATAGAGAATTCTCTCCTCTCTGAGCAAAAAAGTGAGTGTAGAGTATGACCATTCTCTGATACTGGAAAACAGTTTGATAGAGTAAAGGGTGTTTTCAAATTTTGAATGAATTTGCATTGTTTTCAGGGCAAGATGAAGTTTTCTTTCAGTTGCTGAATATGCAGTTTGGAGTGTGAAAAAAGACTGGGTCAGAGAAATGATGCTGGTAATCGCTGGTCTACCAATAGCAATTGAGGTTTTAAGTACGAGGCTAAGAGATGTTAAGTAATTTATCAGATATCAAAGCTTGTATTTTGTGTGTGTGTGTGTGTGTGTGTGTGTGTGTGTGTGTGTGTGTGTGAGTAGCCTATTCGTTTTATTGTTATTTACTTTCTTTTTTTTTTAATTACATTGCATTATGTAGCACAGTTTCATAGGCACTGGGATTCCCCCAATCCTTCCCCATACCCTCCACCCATGGTGGAATCCTCCACCTTGTTGCAATATTACAGATCAAATTTAGTTGAGATTCTTTCATTGCTAGCATATACCAAGCAAAGAGTCCAGCATCTAATTGTCCAGATAAATTCAACGGTTTCTTGGGGAGACCATCTCTGATCTGAAGGTAGAGCTGGCAGAATATCATCCCGATCAATTAAAAGCCCCAACGTAACATCAACAACAACTTACAACATTATGGAATTAATTGACATGGTATTGAGTAACCAATATGTTAATAAATACAAGTTCTTAACCACATCCTGTGACTACTTCATTGACATTTCAATTTTAGTTTATATACAACTGGCTTCTATACACCTTAAAATGGCTATAGGGTACTATTCAGCTGTCTCGTGTCTACCCTCATTTTAGTATTTAGCAGTCTATAGTGTTGAAGCATAATTCTACTGAACTTGGCAGATTTTAGGATAGTCTAAACTGGCTTATAACTCTAGCAAGGCCTATGTCAACAGTTGAAGTGTAGAACTGTTTTAGAAGGAATGTGCAGAGAAATCTTCCATACCCTAGTGAGGAGTAACTAATCTTTGTATCCTACTTAGTAAGATATATGTGAATCCATGCTGACTGTTTCCTGTCTGGTTCTAAGCTTTCCTTGTTGTTCTCTGTCTATCTATTCTAATTTTGTTTGTTTGGGGGGGTGCGCTCCAGAGCGACCCTAATGGTCATTGCAAGAGAGGATGGGAATCCAAAGTTGGAACTAAGTAAGGACCAGAGAAAGCTCCTCTCTAGAGTTTGTATTTTAACCTTCATCATTTCCCCTGCATTCCATTCTTATGACTTCGACTTTGGCCTTAAAGCTTTCATCCTCCTAAGAGATCAGTGTAAACACTTGTTTGTGGATTTTTTAAAAATCCTTATGTTGTAGTTTTTTTTATGCCTTTTGTTGATCACCTTCCTCTGAAATTATTCTGTACCCTGTTCAACCAGAAGTTCCTTCCAAAGGGAAAAGGGTGAATCAGATTGTTTGGTTCTTACTAAATCTTCTGCTGAGTGGGGCAAGCACATCCTTGGTTTCAGCTCTTCCATCATGATCTCCTTAAGAGTCAAGGGTTTTAGCCTTCCTTCCAAGGAGACCAATGCTGTCCTACCCAAGTGAATGGAGAAGGAAGGACAGGATCCACTTGGGCTTCCTCAGAGGTTAAAAGGAATGTGGGTATGATGGACACTATGAAGGGGTCTGACTGGTGTGCCCAGAATTACTGAGGCTGCCTTTGATAGTAAATCACTCACCTGATGTTGCAGGTGGGAATCCAGGCTGTATTGCTGTATTGAACAGATGGCAAAAAAAAAAAAAAAAAAAGGAATTCTAGAAATGTCTTAATAAGTTACACAAGAATCCTCCTAAAGTTATTATGCAAGAGGCACTCTAAATATATGAGGAACTTCATATAGCCTGTGTGAAGGGGGAATGTGGGCAGGAACCAACTTGGAGGGGCTTACATGTTTGGCGGCAGCTTAGAATTCTCAGCTTGCCTCTCAGCCTCCTTCTAGGCTATTTTCATTTTATTGCAATAGTTTCAGGGAATTGCACATGATATTTTCATCAAAGATAAACAGATATTTTCCTGAAATGGAACAATGTTGGGATTCAGAGAGGGAGAGAGTAATAGAGGGACAGAGAGAGCATGCACCCAAGTCATATTGTCATTTGGCAGTTAGACACACTCATAAGTTTCAGATTTTTTTAATCGTTTTCTGTGGCTGGTTAATAGGAAAGTTAAAACATTTAAACGCTTCTTTTGAAAGTCAAGGTGAATGTTTGAGTGTCTCAAAATGCAGTGGGACATAATCGGGAGTGGATGGAACAGATGAAGAGATGGAATGTAGGGGTTGTTAGGCTTATGTGACACGACTTTTGGGGATACAGTTACTCTCAGAGGGAAAACTACCGAGAGAGTCCTTGCAAGGGATTGAGCTCATTGAGCTCAGCACCACTGCTAATCATAAATGTATATTCATGGAGTGATATGCTGTAGGTAAGGTGGTGAGGACTTTGTGTAGAACCAGGATTCAGCAGTAATTGTATAAAAATTCCAGAAAATAGGGCCCAGCGTGTTGTCCTAGTGGCTAAACTTCTCGCCTTGAATTCGCTGGGATCCCATATGTGCACCGGTTCTAATACCGGCAGGCCCGCTTCCAATCCAGAACCCTGCTTGTGGCCAGGGAAAGCAGTTGAGGATGGCTCAAAGCCTTAGGACACTGCACCCATGTGAGAGACCGGGAAGAGCTCATGGCTCCTGGCTTCGGATTGGCTCAGCACCAGCCATTACGGTCACTTGGAGAGTGAATCGTCAGATGGAAGATCTTTCTTTCTTTCTCTTCTCCACTCTGTATATCTGACTTTGCAATAAAAATAAATCTTTTTTTTTTTTTAAACAATTCCTGAAAATAGCAACGGGATCAACTGTATTTAGAAAACTCCTTATGTTACTGGCTGTTAGAAAGTTCGTCATTTGACTTCCTGCACTTTAGCACACTAATGATAAAGAGACAATTTTGGAGTTTTTTTTTTTCAATTTAAAGTACCTGGATTTGGGGTATATTTTCAGCCTATACGTTTATTTATGCCAAGAAAAGTGAATTTCCTCCCTTACTATGTCCTGGTCACAGGCTGCCAGTTTTTATCACAGGTGATAAACATTCAAATACATATTCATTCTCTCCCTGGAGGTGGAAGATAGTTCCCAAAATTTCCTACTGTGGTCTTCCTTCTGAGAGGCATTAATTCCGTGCACAGGAGAGCAAGGGAGCTACAAAACAAATAATAAGGTGACAGTAGGCCCCTAAATGGATTCTCCAGAATGTTCTTTTTAATACTACCAGGAAACATAAGAGTCAGAGCCTATCATTTTGCTTTGACATCAGTGAAATCAGTTGCAAGCCATGGGGCAGGGGGGTGGAGAACCCGCTAGAAATCACTAGAAAATTCTCAAAGAACAACTTCCTGAGTTGGGTTGATGTTCCTTCCTAGGTAGGAAGGACTTCACATCCTTTCTTGTGTGCTCCTTTAACAAAGTACAGTGCAGACAAGGAGGAGACAGACAACTCTTGGCTTAGAGATATAGAGTATATTTGGGGTGGGACTCTGCTCACCTGTGCATTAAGGGAAATGACAAATGCAGTCCTCTTCAAGGCAGGCTTCAAGAGGATTGGGGGAACCCACAGACTCTTTCTCCTTGCCCTGGTGTCTTCATGAGCATACCAGTGTCTCTCTCTGAAGTGAGGGCTGGAGGCTAAGAAGCGTTCCCTGGTTGGGTGGCACGAACCATTCGAGGACAGTGCCGAGGGCAGTGGCGGGGGAAGGCCGAGACTGGGGCAGAGCTTTGCTGTTGGGAGCGGAACCGGAGCTTATTGTCTGGGGAGTGAGGGATCCTCAGGAGAGCCGGGCCCAGCAGTTTCTCAGTGGGAGAAGACTGGACCTTGGGGTGTGCAGCTGGCTTCTCGGTTTTACTTCTCTTTGTGGGCCTTTTGGCTGGAGCCTGTCTCTTTTCAGCATTCTCTTTTCTGCTTTTGGCTGCTTTCTCAGCTGCACAGAATGTGGATTCCAAGCACACACTGCCTTTGGTCTTGGGGTTAAAGGAGTGAAGGAAGGATTTCATCTTATTTATCAGGTTTGAGTCTGGAGGGCTGGGCCTCTTGTGAGGGTGGGCTGGCCTCACTTGGTCGTGAAAAAGCTGACTTGGCCAAGCATGGCCCTGAGAAAACTTAGCCTGAATGAGTTGGCCCTGGGAAGGCTGGCCGTGGGAAGCCCAGGCCACCATAGGCTGGGCATTCTCAAGAATCTTTGGTGGTTGGAGAGGGACATTTAGTTTGACTCGGCTACTTTGCAAGCCATTTCCTGAAGCTTTCCTCCCAGGGCTTCCTGGAGGTGGCTCTGGGGGCTTAAGCTGAGGGTGATTCTGGGGTTTGTGTTGGCAAAGATCGGCAAGATGAAAGCTCTGGCTGTGTCTCCTGGAGCCTCGCAGTGTCCTCTTCAGAGGCATCCCTGCTGGCCTTTGCTCTTCAACAGGGAGTCTTTCTTCTTGGGCTAAGGAGGGCCCAAGACCTGCATCCCCTTCCCCTTGGTCTCCTGCTCCTCTGAGTTGCCCTGGGTCCTCTTTCTTCTTAGCCAGTGTGAGGAGTGGTGCTGAGTCCTTGCTCTTGCCAGGGCTTTGGGGCTCGGGGCTCCAGGCTTCTTCCAGGCTGGGGTTGTTTTCACTGGTCTCCACCTGGACATGAAGCACCTGGGCCTGTGTTGTGTCCCCACTGGGCTGAGAGATCGTGGAAGCCCAGTTGGCAGCCCCATGGGGCACTTCTTTGGAGGTAGGTTGCTTTTGGCTCTGCTGGATTGCCTTCAGCTCAGTTGCCAGCTGCTCCTTGAAGAGGACCCCCCACTCAGGTGGTAAGGCAAGAGGACGACTTGGTTGGGTGGCTGGTTTCTGGGGTAGTGCTTCTTCTTGGTTGTTGACATTCTCAGGAGACTCCTGTGAAGACATGTTCTCTACATTTGCAATGTTTTCTTCCCTGGACACCCTTGCCCTGATGGGAATTCCCAATTGTATCTCTAAGACCTTTTTCCTCAGGTGGAAATTGAGTTTGGTCAAGATGTGTGTCTTGGGTGGGTCCGGATTATCAGGCTGTGTCTGATTTTCTGGAAGCACCGTTTCCATTGTCCCTTCTGTCTGTTGTTCAGTCTGCAACTCCTCTGCATTGTCTATAGGCATCTTATTGTCATCTTGAAAGCCTGACTCAATACTCAAATGTTGTTCTTGAAATGATATCATTTGAGTTGGGGCCTCTGTTAGGCTCTTAGTAGACCCAGATACCGCCTCTGTGATTATGGGTTGGTTATTGATCAGTGGGGTAATGGCTCTGCAGAGAGCCACATAATAAAGAGCAGGCAGCCCCGACAGGAAGGCTAGGTACTTGTGTCGTAAAGTAGTCTCCAGTTTCTCAATGGCTTCCTCAGACAGAGCTTGGGGCATCTTATGGCGTTTAGGGACAGCATGTGGTAAGGCCTGTTCTTGCTGATCAAGAACTGTTGGCATCCAGGACACAATTTCATAATGTGGGTCAGGGTCAGTTGCTTCCTGCAGCTCCAGGGTCTGGACCTCTGGAATGCGGGAAAAGGGAACCACTGCTAGGCCCCCAGGAATTCTGCAGCTCCAGGAGCTGTACACACGTGCAGGGACCTTGCCTTGTTGGATCTGTATACATTTAGAAGTGATGTGGTTCTGCAACAGTGCCTTGGCCTCGGTGAACAAGTGTGGCTTAGGGGTCAGTATTGGAGTCACAGTGGGTGAGAGCAGATCACTGTCCCTGTTGGTTTCTAGGGCTGTAGCCTGGGGTCTACTTTCATTGGGTAATTCTTCACGGCTCCACCCCAAAGCCTGCTGGTTAGTGGAGGAGAGAAGTTGCAGGATGGATTGCTGGATCTTCTGGGGCAGACCCCAACGGTGATGGATCACCTGCTTCTGGAGGTGGAATTCCAGCATCCTCCGGGCATGCTCCGGGAAGAAAAGCAATTCCCTGGTGAGGACTGAGACAGGCTTTCCTGACCAGGAAGTTTTTACAGCCTCGAGAGACCGGGCTTTGCCATAGGGATCCTGCTGCATGGTGCTGTGGGGATGCTGAGATTTCCGGAAGGCAGCTGGTAAGCCCCACTGAAGCTGGAGCTGCCTCTGCAGCAGGTGCCATTCCAAGGTTTCGTATTCAGCCAGAGTCAGAAATGGGACGTGGATCTGAGCTTGTTGATGGTCAGATGGAGACACCCAATTTGAGGAAGGTGGGGAAGTAGATTCATCAGGCTGGGTTGGAGTTTTTGGCATCAGAGGGAGGAGAGAAAGCTCCTTGAAGACAGAAGGATCCTTCAAGGAAGGCTTGGACTGATTCTCATTCTTAGAGATTCCTGGAGAGCCCAGGAGAGTGGAAACCAGTGACTCACTGTGCAGGGAGGGGAGGCCACAGAATAGCTGGCTGCTTGTCTTTTGCAGTTGAATCCCTGGGTCACCATCCTGTGCACCAAGAAATTGCTGGAAATCATTTGGGTCTTTAGTGGCTGGAGACGCTAATGTTAGGGTCATGGTGTTTGGAATATGACGGCAGTGGTATATTTGTTCTGGGTCTGTTATGGACCATTCAGAAACCCAGAATATTTGGCTGGCCTGGCCTGTTATACAAGAGCACCAAGCCTGGTGGCAAATTGTGCCTAAGCTATGAACACTGATTTGAGATGTATTATTCAAGAGTAAGGGAACTACTTCATTATTTTCAGGCTGGCAGTTCATTGGGGGGTTTGGCATCAGTTGCCTCAGAGACTCCTCCACACGTCTAGGGAGCCCCCATCTCTGGAAATGCATCCATTTTTTCACATGTATCTCAAGAAGCCTCAGAGATTCAGGACTAAGGAATGGCAAGTGGCCATGGGGTACCATTTGTAAAGCCACGGGATGTACCAGAGTCGTAATATCTGGATTTAAAGTCATTAAAGGGCCCTGGGAATTGAAAGGCTGCAGTGTTTGACACTCATGAGCTTCGGTAGAAATAATCTGTAACATCTCCTGCTGGTTCTCTGGAACTGTAGCCTCCTCTAGCACTGAAGAAGCCATCGTCTCTGGGTCTAAGATTATATCTTGCACTTGAAATTCTTGCTCTAGCTGGAGGTAATCAGCCCAGTATTTTTGGATGCCAACAGCACTGCTTGATTTGACAGCTGGCTGAGTGAAGCATTTAGCCTCCATTACTTTGGCCAGTTTGGGGGATACAGGTGGTACTTGCAAGAGCTCCTCAGAGTGATCAGAATGAATCTCCAGATTCTGCTCAAAAGATACACTAGACATGGACAGAACATTTACACAAGACGAGCCCTGGGATGTCCCTGATAAACTGGGGGAAAGCATGATGCTCTCATCCACCAGTAACTGGTGAACTTCCAGAGCCACGGCGTTGCAGATTTGGCAGCAAGGATCTTCACACAGGAGCCGCCGCACATTTTGGTCTGCAGGAAGCCAGCCTTGACTGAAAAGGGAAATAACGACAATTATTGATTATGGAGACACCTCTGCTTTCTTGGAACAGAGTGTGGCTTTGGATAAACTGCTGGGGTCCGTGCAGTAGGTGTGGATGACATGAAGGTGTGAAGAGAACAGTTCCCTGCCTTGCAGGGCCTGGGGAGCCTCCAGCTGTTTGGCAGGGCCCGGCGGATTTCTCTCTGACCACCTTGACGCAGTCTCACCCCCTGGCTGCATGGACACTCAAGTATCCCACTAAGAATTCTATAATCTATTGAGGCATTGTTTGCCCCTGTGAGATGGCTTTGGCAACTACTGTGAGCTTAAGAGTTAATGTTATTGATGTCTTGGTGAGTGGGCCTTTAACTGCACACAGGAGTACAATTAAACCCATGCCATTTCTGGACACCTTATTGTGTGCCTACCCATTGCCCTGAAATCGGGCCCAGACATATAGCATGCCTTCTGGGAAACGGCTTAACAAGAATCTTACAAACTAATGGAAGTGATGGGAGTAAGAGCTGAAACTGCTATGGCAAAAATATAGTTGCTGTGACCTTAAAGGTTAGTCTGTCCTTGCAACTCTTTAGAGCATAGAAAATGTAGCTGCTTTAGCCGCTTTCATAATCTTTTAACTAGAGGAAATATAGGGTGATTCTATTAACATCACAGAGATATACTTTTGATTATTGTTTAACTGCTTATGAGGCTGTAGAGCCTGCAGTTTCAGGGGGATTTAATGTTTGAAACTTTTTGTCTTAGATCTTTATATTTTTTTCTCTTTTGAGGTATTTCTCCCATTATGTGATAGATAAAGTTGTGAAAATAAAATGTAGTAGAAATGTTTACTAATTAGTAGGTAACCATCTGTGCCTTGGCCTCGGAGTTCTGGCTGTCACCTAGTGGCCACTTCTGAAGAAAGAACAATGGCTTGCTTTAAAGAAACTGATTATAGTAACTTACAGAATTATCTTTAAGAGCACCTGGTTGACCATGAAGTAAAAATTAATTGAACATCTGTGCATGCTGTCTTAGTTCTAAAGTTAAAGATAAAAAATCAAATGTTTATGCAGAGACTTGTGATGTGTCTAAGTAAATAAGTAATAAGGATAGCTTCTTCTTGAGCGGGGAAGCAGCAAAAATGCAACAAGTGTCTGTGTCTTTCTTTATCGCCGACTCCACGCACCCTTCCCGAGCTCCGAACTCAGCTGGAGCTGGACTCCGGCAATAAACGTTGCTTTTTGCTAGCCCAGAAAGTCCCTGGGGCCTCTACCTTCTTGGTGTCTACCATTTTACTTTTCTTCCTAAGAAAATGCCACTTGGCAAAGTATGATGGTCTAGATTATGAGTCCAAGGGTTGCTAGGCAAGGTCTCAGAGAGCCATTTGTTCAAAGTCCCAGAGCGAACTATCAGGTGTGTTTACTTTTCTGCTGACCTTGTTGGCAGAAAATGAATCAGGCAGGCAAAAAATAACAGTAATTTGTAGATGGTCATCACTAAAAATATTACCATGTAAAACCTAAATCTGTCTTATTGCAGGTGAAGAGTCAAAGCCAAGTATTTGATTCAACTAAACTGAGTAATTAGCTCTTTGTGGGAACTATGCATTCTGGGAGTACTTGGTATTCTTGCTGCTACACCCAGCATTTCTTAGGAACCAATCCTGTTCTCTAGAGATCTTAGACGGGATAAGATGATAGATTACCATGTGAGGTCTACTCTAGGAACTGGTTCCCTAATGACAGAAGCAGAAGAAGTAACCTCAGCCAGACCCATGTCCAGCCAGCTCAGGGGTCCTCCTTCAGAAGGGTGTGGTTGTAAAGAGAACATGGCAGTGATGATTTCTTGATGCAAAATGCATTCTCTTGACTGAATAGCTTGTCTCAAGTCTTGAGTGCAGCCCCATGAAGCATCCTGTATGAATTAGGCACTAGGCAAATGCTGAGTTCTGGAACTGTTTTCAGCATAGCACTGAGTAGGACTGGGTGACCCGTCCCTCCTAAGATGTGCTCACTCTCCTCTGCCCTGACAACCTTCTCAGCTAGTGAAGCAGCCTGCACTATGTGTGTCTCCCACCCAGCCATTATTCCTCTCCTCATTTGCCCCAGACCAGATACCCATTACAGACCCATTACAGATACCCAGATACCATTACAGACAAGACTCAAACTTGGGAGACCAAAAAGAGCCAGAGATTACCTTTTCATGACTGAGATCAGCTCCCGTGGCTTCTCAGCTTCTTCCTGGGAAAGTCTCCTGGCTGAGAAACCAGGAAAGAGTTTTATAATCATAGGAGAGTTTTAGAGTCATCCTAGAGGTCTCTGGAGACCTTTGACCCTCAGCCAGAGGAGACTTAAATATGCTCTTAGGCCTATGTACAATGTAATCACATACAGTTTACTCTCCTGTGCCTTTGAATTAGATTAGAGCCTTCTTGGCTAAAGTACCAGGCACCTGGCATCAGGATTCATGAGGGACAGGAACCACGGGAACCTCACCCACAGCGGAAGGGAGTCCGGGGAGAGAGCAGGACTTTACCTCTTGATGCTGCATCTCTAGCCCTTTGCCTGACTTTCCGGTGACGCTTAAAGACAAAAGCATAAAACGTGAAACTGAGACACTTTTTTTGTTTTCATGTCCAAAATGGGATACAGCTCATATACAACTTCCCTCTGTCTTTCTATTTTATCTTCTACATTTAAAAAAAAAAAAAGCACTTATGTATTTGAAAGCTGAGAAAGAGAGAGACACACAGGGGAGAATTTTCCATTAGCTCTTTTACTCCCAAGCCAGGGCTGGTTAAGATCAAAGCCAGGATTCAGGAGCTTCTCACAGGTCTCCCACATAGGTAGCCAGAACCCAGGCACTTGGACCATCTTGGTCCAAGTCCATCTTGGACTGCTTTTTCCAATTCATTAGTAGGGACATGGGTCAGACATAGAACATCCAGCTCACAGTCCCATCTCAACAATGCCAGCCCCTCTATTTGCATTTTGTACCTTGTCCCACATTTCTTTTACCTACTTTCCATCTTATTTACCCCAACTTTTATCTTCTTTTTTTTCACCTTGAGGGTCTTTAAAGTTCATACTGCTATCCAATTCCCAAGACAAGTTCTTATGGAGACTAAGTATCAAAAAAAGGGATTAATAGAAAACAATATTAAATATATAGTTCTAATAGTCAAAGGACTTCATCTTATAAATGTCTGAAATAATCACCAGTTAGAAATATCTCCCAAATGGTTAAGTCTCCTGATGTCCAGTGTGATAGATCCTGTGTCTAAGGCTCTATTCAACCCAAACAGAGATAGTCTTGGCTTTTCCATTAGAGTGTACTGCAGGAAAGGCCTGTAATGAATCAACTCCTAGGCTCTTCGAAGAAAGACTGTTGAAGTAACTGCATATGTTGTGTAAAAGTTAGCAAGAAGAGGTAGTGAGATTCTACATAGACCCTGGAGCTTAAAAAAAAAAAAAAACTTCTTATCTAGGGCTTAATTTAGTTCAGCTGTGAACACATTGATTTCCTACCCGGCAGCAGCTCCTTTTGGGTTCCAATTTCAATCCACAGTAACTTCTTCTCAGTTGCCAGAGCATTAGGAAAATGAACAAGATGAACCCATAGGTATATAACCAGTATTCAATGTCCTCCGGAATAAAAGTAGAGCTCAACATGGTCTAAACCTCATTAGCAAGAGACCAGCCATCCCTCTCTCTAGGCATTCGGGGGCCTAGTGCTTGGTGAGTCCCAGTGCTGGGCCTTGTCGTGTGCGCCTCACAGAAGACAGAACCAGACTCCCGGATTGCATCATAAAGCCCTCTTGTCTCATTAGGCTGTGCCATAGGGAAGCTCATGTGGTGATTCGGTCTGCAGATGAGAGTGTCTAGTTATCTGTAATGATTATAGAGCCTGAAGTCAAGGTGCCACACTCACCAGCATTGCCTGTTTCCCACCATGTCTTCACTCTGTCCCTATACCAGGCTGAGGGCTCAGTTCTTGCCTTCATAGCAACTGTCTGATGACCTATCCTCAGAAAACTGAGTGCCTTTTCAGGCCAGACACCTTTATTAGAGTAGCACACCGGAGTTAGGGAGGCCTAAATGTGGCTGTGGCTTGGAAATGAGAGTTCTGATGTTTCTGGTAACAAGTGACCATAAATCATTCATTCATTCAAAGGAACATGTATAATGTGGCAGGGAAAGGCCAAGGCCAGTCTATCTACCATACTATGTGACATTACCAGTAGGAAGAGATTGTGAACTGCCTTCCATGTAGAAGTATTCCTGTGGCTCACTTCCGGTGTGTTATCCAAGGCTTGGCTTTCCCGAGCTGCTCATATCCGCATTATCTGTGTCACTTCCATGAGTATGTGATTTTTAAGAACATAGCTGTGTGCTAGGCTGCAGGACCTGCAGGTACATTCAAACGCTGGGACTAGGAGCAGGCCAGGGTGGACTAGACTGTAGCACCTGTCAGCACAATCACAGGGCTGGGGGTGGGCATAGTAGGGATTTATAGGGGTTGTCCTGATTAGGCTGCAGCACCCATTGGTGCCCATGAGAACTGGGGCTGGGTGTTGACTGGGCTGGGCTGAGCCACAACACCTGATGGCATACACAAAAACAGGCTGGCAGGGGCAGGTAGGCATTCTTCTGGATTGTCCCAAATAGGCCATAGAAAGAGCTGGGCCTGGGGGCAGGCTGGGCTGTGCTAGACTGAAGCACCCACCAGGTCAAGTGAAAGCCAGGACTGGGCGGTGGGACTGACCATTCAGCTGCATCCACTGGTACGTGTGTTGGCTGGGGCAGGGAGTAGACTGAGCCCAGCCCTACAGTAACTGACACACATGAGAACAAAGTCTAAGGACCTCCCAAGATAGATTTCTTAAGTGGCTCCCCAACTAGATCCCTGCACTTGATACCTGACCTCAGGGAAAAATCATCAAAAAAGACAAACTGAACAATACTCCAGGTGAGGCTCTGCAGCAAGCACCTAGGCCTGTGGACACACTGAGATAGATAGACAGCCAGCAGGTATTAGAATTTCTCACCCATGGTGTAAGGAAACCAACAATTTCTCAGAATAATCAAGACTGTTCAAGCAACACTCAGAAGCGGCCATCTCCATCCCCAGATGGTGATACATTGTGACAACAACGACTGGTGCATTTTCTCCCCCTACTTCCCATGGACACAGGAGGGAAAATGGAAACATTTATCTCACCTATCAAACTTCCCCCAACCCTATCCATCTTAATGGGAGGCCCACATGGGTCTTCAATCCCCTCACCTTTGTAATAAATGTTAAAATAAAAATGTAGGTGTACATTTTTGATACAAAATTCAAACAACAGAAGATGCAATGTTATTAAGAAAGTCTCCTCATTCTTGTCTCACATCTCTCATTTTTTCCTTAATTCTATTAATTAAGATTAATAAGATTCTTGTTAATTTTTCCAAACTAGTGCAACGTAAGCAAAAATAGATGAATGTTTATTTTTCAGAACAAATGGAAGTATAGTACAGATAATTTTCTTCTTCAACCCTCACCAAATAAGGAATTTAACAGGTAAAAACAAAAAAGCTTCTAGTTTAGTGAGAATATAAACAAAAGCAACAAAAATAACTGAGTAGAAAGATGATTTCACTCATATAAAGTAAATTTTATAGTAATCATAAGTCATTAAAGCTATAATAGTGTAGCATTCTTAACCATTCGTTTGACAACAGTATAAAGAGGAGTTGTACAAAGCTGTATTTGCCACAACACTGACACATGGAAGTGTTTGTTTTAATTTCAGCTCCCATGGATAACGGAGAGCATGTGATAATTGTCTTTCTGTGTCTGGATTGTTTCACTCAACAAGATGTTCTCCAGCAGCATTCAATTTGATGTAAATGATAGAATGATTTTTTGAGCCCAGCACGGTAGTCTAGAAGCTAAAATCCTTGCCTTGCATGTGCTGAGATCCCATATGGGTACCAGTTCTAATCCCGGCAGCTCCACTTCCCATCCAGCTCCCTGCTTGTGGCCTAAGAAAGCAATCAAGGATGGTCCGAAGCTTTGGAACCCTGCACCGGTGTAGGAGACCTGAAGGACGTTCCTGGATCCTGGCTTCGGATCAGTGCAGCACCGGCTATTGTGGTCACTTGGGGAGTGAATCATTGACGGAAGATCTTCCTCTCTGTCTCTCTTCCTCTCTGTGTATCTGACTTTCCAATAAAAATGAATAAATCTTTAAAACAAAAAAGAATTTGATTTTTTAGTCAAATACTATTTCATTACATATCTGCCCTATTTCCTGTATTCATTGTTCTGATGATGGATGCCTTGTTTAATTCTATATTTGGCTATGTTGAACAGTGCTGTTGTAAATGTAGTGGTGTAGGTATCTCTTTGATACGATGTGTTCATGTCTTTTGGGCATCCTCCCAGAAGTATTGCTGGATAAGATGACAAATCTGTTTTCTAAGAAACCTCCACACCATTTTCCACAGTGGCTGCACTAATCTCCATTCCTACTGACGGTGTACAAATGTTCTCCTTTCTCCACATCCTCACCAGCATTTGTTGCTCTCTGTCCTCTAGATTGTAGCTATTTGACAGGGATGAGGTGATATCTCATTGTGGTTTTGATTTACATTCCCCTGATAGCTACTGATAGTGACCATTTTTTTCATATATTTGTTGATCATTTGCATTCGTGTTTTTAAGAACTGTTTATTTAGCCCTTTTGTTCATTTCTTAACTAGATTTTGTTGTTGTTGTTGAATTTTTATATGTTGCTGATATGTATGAGATATTAATCCTTTTTTTAAGATTTGTTCTATTTTTACTAAAAAGTCAAATGCACAGAGAAGAGGAGAGAAAGAAAGATCTTCTGTCCAATGATTCACTCCCCAAGAGATCGCAATGACCGGTGCTGAGCCGATCCAAAACCGGGAGCCAGGAACTCTTCCGAGTCTCCCACACAGTTGCAGGGTCCTAAGGATTTGGGCTGTCCTCAACTGCTTTCCCAGGCCACAAGCAGAGAGCTGGGTGGGAAGTGGGGTTGCCGGGATTAGAACCGGCACCCATATGGGATCCTGGCACATGCAAGGAGAGTATTTAACCCACTAGGCTACCTCACTGGGCCTGATATTAATCCTTTGTTAACTAGCTTGCAAAAATTTTTTTCCCCATTCTATTGAATGCCTCTTCACTCTACTCCTTGGTTGTGCAGAATCTTCTGAGTTTGATATAATCCCATTTGTTTAGTTTTGTTTGTATTAACTATGCTTTGGGAGTCTTGTGCAAGAAGTTGTCCAATATACCAATGTCTTGGCATGTTGCCCTACATTCTCTTACAGTGAATTCCTAGTCTTTGGTCTTAAATTTAGGTCTTTGATTCACCTGAAGTTGATTTTCATGTGTGGAGAGAGTTATGGATCTAATTTATTTGTTCTACATATGTAAATTTTCTTCTACATATGTGGCAATTTTCTTCTTGTTTCTTATAGTAAAATAAGCATATTTTGAGTATTTAATTTTCTTCAATGACTGTGATTCCTTCCTTGAAATGTACAAAATAATTAATTCTCAATGCCCTTTTCATGAATATTTAATTATTTTTTGTTCTAGTAATGTGAAATAAAACTCATGCATAAAATTCTCATGTAAGAGTATGTATGTGGGAAAAATTCCTATGAGAAAAAGTATTGGCTCAAAGGGTAAATGAGTTTTCATGCTTAATAAAGCCTAATTGATGCCCAATTATTTAAGTTCCTACTCTCCAAAAAATGTTTTAAGGTTGTCTGTCTTCCATGTTGGTAAACAGATGGATTGTTTTCACCTTTTGGCTAGAATGAATAATGATTCCATTATTGTTGGTATTAAAGTGTCTGTCCAAATCTTTGTTTTCAATTCTTTTTAGTATATACCATGACTTCACTTTTTTTTTTTTTTAAGATTTATTAGATAGAGCAACAGAGAGGGAGAGACAGAAAGAGAAAGCAAGGAAGAGAGAAAGAGTTCCTTTCCCCGTCTCACAATAGCAGGGATTGGGCTGGCTCAACGCCAGGAACTACATCTGGGTTTCCCACACGAGCGAAAGGGTTGCAAGCACTTGGGCTATTAACTCCTGCCTGCCCAGGCTTTGACCAGGAAGCTTGGTCAGAAGCAGAGCAGCCAGGTCTTGAATCAGCACTCTGATCCAGAATGGCCAATATTGCAAGCAGAGGATTACGTCGCTATACCACAATGCGAGGCCACATGACTTCACTTTTTATGATTAAATATTTGAGTTGTCTAGAATTTAGTAATTAAAAAAAATAATAACTTTCAGGGGCAGACATTTAGTCTAGCAATGAAGATGCCTTTAAGGATGCCTGTGATCCATATTGGAGCACATGGGTTGGATATTGGCTGCTGATTCCAACTTCCTGCTAATGAGAAGCTTGGGAAGCAACAGAGACATCGAGTAATTGGATTCTCGCCACCCATGTGAGGAGCCTTGATTGGGTTCCTGGCTTTTGGTTTGGACTGACCCAGACCTGGCCATTGTGGGTGTTTTGGGAATGAAACAGCATACGGGAGTTCTCTCTATTCGTCTGCTTCTCCCTCTGTCGTCTCTTGACAAAATATTTTCAAAATAATGACTTACGTGAGATACAATTGTCAGAAAATAAATAACACA